CATTCACAAAAGTTTTTGAATAAATTATAATAGACACCAATTATTTAATTAAATAGTAACAAGAAGAAAAACAATAGAGTGTTGAATCATATTTCACGTCAGCTCTATAGAAATCGAAATGAAACTAATGAAAGAATAGAAACCACAATGTTAATGTTAGCAAGAGAACGTTGGAATTGTAATTTTACTGAAAACTGAAAAGTTATGTTGTTTTTAGTCTGGGTGATATGCAAAAGGAAAATAAGGGATGAGAGTGACATGGGAATCTTGAATTGAAAGGAGCAAAGACAAGCACATGGTTTCCAAAGAAGTACTATGAACTTTGAATTCAAGTGGGGAGCAAAGAATTTGTAGCACTAAGGATTGTGGGGTGTCCTATTTTAAGTATATTAAAGTTGCTTTATTTCCACATCTTGTAAATCTTTTGGTATATTGCATCTTCAATGAATGATGGTAGCCTTTGATTACTAAAATCAATCTTCATCTTCACCCTTTCCAAAACATTTATCACACTTAAATTAGAAATATGTGGGGGAAAATTCACTTTCTTTTTCTTTATTGGCCATGTATTGGGTGAGTTTTATTCTTCAATACTTTTCTAACTACTATATTATTATTGAATTTAAACTTTTCAACGACTTCAAAAATGAGCAAATTTAACGAAAGTTATTAATATATACGAAGTACTAATTTCACTACCTGTTTAAGTTTTAAGGTTCAACCCAACAAAACCAAAAAAGGTATAACTCAATGATAATCGACATATATATCTTCAACAAAGAGGTTGTGAATTCGATCCCCTACCTTACATGTTGTCCTAAAAAATATAAAAAGTTGAACCCAACAAAATTGAAAGTTAAAATTAAAACTAAGATGTGGGTTAGACATGACTTCCCCTTTTACATTATTTTATTATCAAAATTGTCCCTATAAAATCAAAGTTGGACCACTCAAAATTAGGGTGGGGGGCCATATGTCTGGAAAAAAGTGTGGATCAAAGGATTCCTAGTCAATAAAAAATTGACAAGAAAAGAAAGATAGTAAAGAAAGGAAATAATGTTCAGATAAACAACATTAACCAACCAACTAAAACCTTTTTAATGCCAAAGTGGTCACAATAAATATAGTGGAGCAACAAGGACAGCAAATTCTAAAGACACAACCCACAACCAAAGCAATGCTTTTTCTTTACCAAATCGTGGGGGCATTTCAAATGTCAATTTAGTACAAACATTCAAAGTCAACGAAGCCCGACCAAAATATCTATAAAAAAAAAATTAAAAAACAAAAGAAAAACACAATTATCAATAATTAACTGACCTCCTTTTCCTTCAAATCACAAATGACAGAACCATTTTTCTTTCTCCTTGGACACCTATGATCCTTTGAAAGCTCTAAGCCCTCTTCCTTTCAATGTTGTTCAATATGCAGGTGTGTTTGGGAGTGGATGAGTGCTTTTCATAAAAGCATTTTTATCAAATGCTTATGCTTAGGAACAAATCACTTTTGAATTTTGGTTCAGTATTTTTCAGATCCTACAAGTGTCTTATAAAGCACTCTAGTATTTTTTTTACTTTTTCAAGTACTCTGAATTCTACTCGATTTTAATGAGAGTTATCTTCCACTATGAAGAAATCATTTCTAAATATGCTTGAGATGACTTTTGTATGCAGTGCTTTTGACTAAAAGAAGCACTAATTACTGTGTTTTAAGTGTTTTTAGCTGACAATCAAGTGCTTCTAAAACTCATAACAAACACACTCTAATAATAACTAATAGGACTTCCATCAAAAGCAGAAGAGCTTGTTTGGCTAGTTGTTTAATATTCAACTTTATAAGTGGAATATAAAAAATAACCAAAGAGCATGAGGAGATCCTTACCTTATTTTCCACTTCGTTTTATTATGTTGAAAACTTTCGGTGCACTTATCATCTTCTTTCCCTCCAAAGGATATTGCTTTCGGTTCCTTTGCTTTGGCCATAATTCACAGACGTAGCGCACACGGCACTTCTCCCTGGAAAAATTCCTCGACAAACAAATTAGAGGAGAGAAAACACAACCATGTTCCAAAATGCAGCCATAAAGATGGAATTTCGCAGCCCTTTTACTGTATATTTGCTGTATAAGATTGGATGCTACAAGTTACTTGTAAATTTTTCAATCATAGCAACAGGTCTACCAGAAATTCAGAGTAAAAGTAGAGGAATGTTTGGATAACATAACCTGAGAAGGGGTTAAATTAAACGCCCACCTCTAGATAAGAGAGAACTTCTCCATTTGGCAAGTTCAAATGAAAATTTCTTTTCGTTCATGGTTATGTTTTCTACCAACCTAGGTACTGATATAAATTCCTTCATATATTCTAAGACTTCTAGAATAACATTTTCACAACTGATATACATGACATGACAATTATATCACTTCACACTCCACAAATCAATGGAAGTCCAGGCGTGGCCCTTGATAAAAATAATGACTATTTGGTCAAAAGTCTCTATGGCTATTGAGGTGGCTCTTGCTTTCAAGGTGTTTAGGAGAAGATTTTTCATGCGACTGGATGAAGAAATTTAAGGCTCGTTTGGTAACATTTCCATTTCTTGTTTATCGTTTTCAATTCTCTTAAGAAATTTAAGCATTTTACAACTAACTATGTTTATTGTTTCTCATTTTTTGGAAACATTCTCAAAATTATATAGAAAATTTTGGAAACAACCAAAATAAGTTTCTTCTTTCTTGTTCCAATTTTCAATTTATTCCAAAATATAAATAAAAAGATTGTTGTATCATACTTGAATTCTTGGATGTTGGAGCCATGCAATTCATTTTTCTTCATTAACAGAAATAAGAAATAAGAATGTTACTGAACGACCCCTTAATGATTCGATGGACTTCAGAAATTAATTGAAGTTCCCTTGAGAAACGGCAAGTTTTACTTGGTCCAACACCAGGGTGTGCTTTCTCCTGCTGGCTAAAGAGATTAAAGAGATATGTTTCAAGACACAAGGGCTTTCAGAAAAGTTAGATTAGTGCTAGACTACTCTCCTGCTGTTCTTGAAACAGAGGGAATATCAGTTGGGCTCAGTCTGTTTTTTAACTATTCAGAGATGAGAACTTCTGGCTGGACAATAAAGAACAAGGCAATCCAATACCTTAAACCAGCCTAATATTGCAAAATACAGAAACATCATCACGCAAGTTTGAGAAAAGTCATGCATATATTTTAGAAATCAAAGTAAAAATCATGTACGACTGTAAATTTGAGCCGTCACTATTCTATGCCAAAAGAGAGACACTAGGATCTCACTTACCATCTACTCTGCAAACCACTTGATTTTCTACATAACAGCTTTGCTAAACAAAGGTTCTGACTTTTCAACGCCAGATTTCACTTTGAAGTCCCTTCATTAAGAGTAGAGCACATTTCAACTGGCCAATATCTTATCAGTTATCAGTATCGTTTAAGGCTAACCTGTAAAATGTAGAAAGACAGGAACAGGAAATTAAATAACAATCATCAGTCATGTCATACACCTCAGAAGAGAAGATTTCCACTTTCTCCACGAGCTGGACATGCATCTTCTGTCCATCATGGGAAACAAAAATCAACAGAGATTACAGACATGAAATAAGTGGCCTGAAATAGTAAAATCATCATAGGAAGTATATCAATGCTCATATATAGCAGAATAACATCATCTCTTACACTCAAGATAATTGTGTCAAGTGTCAAAAGAAAACATGAGAACCATCCCGGAAGAAGATTATATCAAATTAAGTTACCACTTGATATCTGCCAATTTGAAGTTCATAAGTCTCTGGAATAGCACTTGGTGAAGTATTTCAGACAGACCGTCATCAAACGTGCTTCACAACTCTTATCATTCTAATAGTAACTATTTATCTCATCGACAAGTTCTTTAATAGAAGTGCTTACTAATCAAGGTAAGCTTGAGAGGTTTAGGTTAGCATGCACTACAGATTAGAGCTTAAAAAAGAACCATCTAATGAATGAACTTGAGTGCATTCACATCAACAAAAATGAATCAATCATACTATTGATAAATTGTTCAGCACATCCATCACAACATACTTCAGCAATAAATAGTGTACTTCAGAGTCCTTTTTGGAGTAATACTTTTAAGTGAACATTTTAATTACCAAAGACAATTGGAAAAATAACAATTAAGTACTCTTTTATAAAAGCAGAAGTGTTTTCAAGTACTTTTGAAATTTTAAAGAATACTCTTTGATACGGAGGCCATCCGTATGAAAATTTTGGAATGTGTTTCAAGAAAAGACACAACATTATTGTCCTAAATACCTTGCTTATGGGGAAATTAAACATAAAGATGGGGAACAATTGGGGCATAAAATGGATTTGACAAACGTTAGTTGCAAATATCTTCACTGCAAAGAAAAGTATCAATGAGAGTCTCATATATACAACAATATATCGCTTTCATTTCGTTTAATGGAACTTCTTGCTTCTTCTCATGCCCAAAATGGACACACCTATAAACCTCCTAACTATGTAGCTGAAACATGGCAAAATTTGCAAGCGTTATTATCCCTTCCGACAAAAAACAAACTGTAGAAATTATCCCTTTCAATTGTGTTGTATAGGTCTGGTATCGTATTCCATAATAAGTAAGGAGATGATGATCTTCGGCAGAGAAAATGGGGCGATTTGTGGGTAAGTGACAAACCCCTTCATGTTCCCGGTGAAAGCTTCAAGAACAAAACTCAAATCAGCTATCTCCATTTTGTGAAATATCAAAGCTGGTGAATGGACCAACTCCATGCCAAAAAGAATAGATTTAGACAAGAAAAATCTATCTTCTTAAAGGTTCTAACTGAACTTCCATAGTTCCTGAAGGATGAGACTCTTTGCCTTCAATAGAAATAGTTGGACCCAAAAGATCGATAGAATCGTCATCATTACCAAGCACCCAACTGCTTCTTCCAGCTATTCTGTCCCTCCTACGCTGCCTCTCCTGGTATTCCAAATAAATAACCATTAATGCAATGATCGTAAACCATGTAATTAGAGCCCAGATAAGGCCATGCACATTTTCACTGTCATATCGTTCGCCTAGATGCTTCATTCCAGTGAATTGCGCTGCAATACCAATACCAATTGCACATCTGCCTACAATTGTGTGTGAATACTCCCATAGAATCCTCTTGTGGGAAACCACTTCCCCATTGGCTGGTGTTTTTGGTCTGAAATATGCATTTATTGGCTGTATACATGCCAAAAGTATTGCAGCAATTCCAAACTTAACATGCAGTGAGCTGACGTAGAAACCCCGAAGCTCAGCAATGGCAAAGAGAAGGCCAAGCAGGACAATTGACAAACCTGAGTACTGCAGGTAAACATGAATCTGATACCACCCATCACCCTTCACATGTTTCAAGTATCTAGCAGACAAAATTCCACCAGGTAACAAAATACCCCAAGCAAGGAACATCATGAACCCATGAACGGCTAATACAGGCTGTAAATCTTGTTCGGCCTCTGCAGAACCACGCATAAGCAGCACCCGCATAGGCCTACTGCTTCGAGAAGAATGCATATTTCTGTCGCTTAAATGTTCATCCACCCATTTAGCACCCATTGCCCATACAACCTTAAGTGGAGTGGTGGGATCAATTACATTTTCACACTCTGGTCCTTGACCTTGAGTACATGATGGTTTCAAGGGGCGGGTGAACTCCAGAGTAATGATACCGCTTTCTGACTTGCACCTCACAAAGGTCAAGTTCTCTTTTGTCGGATGTACATTTAAAGCTTCCTTTCCATCAATCCAGTAGGTACTCACTCTACCTTTGCCAGTTTCATCCATCCAACCCACATAAGCATAGCTATTAACCATTCCACTTCCAAATCCAATAGCAAGATAACCGCTCTTTTTCTCACCACGAGCTGCAATAGTTATTGAATCCTCCGACAGAGTCCAAAAAAATGTAACTTGCTGGTCATCCAAAAGAACACTATTATTATACATGTCTGACAAACCACCATCAACAACCTGCACCCTCCAACCCATTTTTGGTTGGAAAATTGACTGGTAAAAGACTTGGTCCGGAGTATTCCGATCCGGTGCCCAAGTTAACTCCATGGGGCTGGCTTGAACTCCTTCCGCTTCTGGCCCTCCAGCATAAATAACCTCAGACATGTTCCTCAGGGTTGCATTTCCACCAAGCAGATCAGAAGTAATGTAGAGTGCAACATCATGCCCAGCTTGTATTGAGAACTTCACAGGCACCCCTCTCTCAACTCTTAATAGAGGAGCCTCCTTCTTGTTGATATACAGAACTTTTGCAGGATTTGGAGGATTCGGATAATGCACAGCTGGACCACTAGTTACCACAAGAGGAGAATTTGCATCTGCAATTACAACATCTTGATCCTCCTTGTCTTCTGCATCAAGCGGACCCAGACAATCATTCACGTGCTCTGAAACGTTGAGAACCAGATGCCCATAATGCGCACCATGATTTTGAGGAAGATAGAATGGCCGAATTGCATCAGGCGGCTTCATTGGTCCTACTGCCCAAATGACAGTCATGTTTGCAGTATGATTAATTGGCATATCATATTTCTTATCAACCGTAATCAGTGACCTTTGATACCGAACAAACGACACCCCGTCTCTCCTATGCCCATAAATCAATTTTGTATTGTTCACCAAACCAACAGGGTCTGAACCTTCGAAAATCGTATCTGGACAAACACCATGCACTGTACCATCCTTATTAATCATACATTCGCTGAGCTTTGTGATGTAGAAATCATCCACAAGCGGCACTCCATCCTCCTTGAACCCCATCACAGCAACATCTGCCCCAATCATGAGATTAGAAGTTTCAGTCTGGTTTGCCCACCCAAATGCCATGTAGTTCGTCATCGGAATCGCTGCCTCCAGCCCGACGTCAATCAAATGATCCTTCCTGTTCAATGTCCACCTAACCCTGTAGTTATCATTCAACACTTTGCAATTTTCAAACGCCGTGGGCTCCTTAGGAATCGAACCCACATCTTCCCCTGAACTCCCACCTACCGACGGAGATGGAGCCATATCGGGACTACCCGCCGATCCATTATTCGGTCTCCGGAGGATAATATGTCCGAAATCCGAAGCGTCGGGAAGGTCCCAGGCAGCGATGATTTGGATCTGATTCCATGTAACATTCTTCATCAAATGTACAATGAAGGTGGCGTTTTTGTACGTCCCATTAAGCTTTTGATCAGACACAACGAACCCGGACGTGAAATTGGTAAAATCAGGAGCGATCGCACCCCACCAATGCACATCGGAACCAGAAAGCAAATCGAAATTCGAAACCCTAAAAGAGCAATCATCGATTATTCTAAACGAACCTCTAAGTTGGTGCTGTACCATTTTAAATTCGGACTCGAAGTCGACGAGAGAACTGGTTTTAGAACAGCCAGATCCGGCATCCGCATAGCAACAAACAATCGAGCACAAGATAAAACACCCAACGAAAATGGGTGCGTGATGCATGAGGACGATATGGGGATCCAAATTGACTCTCTCTGTATCTAAGATCGGAAAGAATCCGGATTCCACAATAATTAAATCAACTTGTTCGGAGAAAAAACGAAACAACTCGAAATTACACCATTACCAGAGATCTTCGCCGGCGGATGGTTGAAGTTCTGCGATGGGGAATTTAATTGAAGGCGAGTTGGTTTGGAATAATGCAACACAAATTCAAGATCGTGACCAGAAACAAATTAATGGGAGAAATAGATGAAATTCCAAATCGTAGAATGTGAGGGTTCATTGGTCTAAGTTGGAAGAGTGGTTTATGAGCTGTAATCAAAGTGGACAGCCTAATGAAATAACTGCAAATAAGCATATGAATTATAATGGTTGGATTTTCTAAAAAGAAAAAAAAATGGTTGAATTTTCTAAAAAGAAAAAAATATTTTCTTTCCAAAAAGAACAAAAAAAAATAATAAATAAATAAAATTTTGTTGAGAGTGCTAGTGCTCTATGGATGTTGGTATTTTCTTAAATATACCATTAATTTCTTTAGTGTGTCAATTTATTTCAATCACTGAATTTTATAAATAAAAATAAAGCGTATTAATGAAAATGTTATGTGAAACTGCCTAGTGTATATCGTGTATCTTGATATTTATTTTTTCTCCTGAGGCATCTCATATTTTCAAAGTTCTAAAAAAGTCTCATATTTCTAATTTGTTGTACAGAAAAAAAATTTATGTGAAACTAATATACGAGTTTTACTTTTTACCTACGATTCCTCTTTTTCTCTAGAATATATGGCTAAACGAGATGAGTTCAGTTCATATTAGTACTTAAACATATAAATTTTTTATAGGAAATTGACATGTAACTTTAATACACTCATTTAGTAATTCAAAATTCTAAAATTAGTTTACGTTCAAAGTTTAATTAACCATTAAACAGCATAGCTCAATTAAAACATATATCTGACTAAAAGAGTAGAGATTCAAATCTCAACCTCACATTTTTTAATTTAAAAAAAACAGTTAACGATTAAATACATGGTTTGTAGGAAAAAAAATGATTAAATCCATGTGAAAATCACAAATTTAAATACAGTTCAACTAATGCATTATACATTTGTGGTTGGACATTCAAAACTATTACGACATTCGAATCTATCAATTTAACTAAAAGGAGATGGAGAGATGAGCGAGCACACATAATCATCTACACTAAGTTGATGCAGCTCATATTGTAATTTTTTCCTCTTCTTTTTTTTATTTTTTTATTTTTTTTTAAATATAGGAATCAAACAAACATCATTTTGAAAGTTTTCGGTTAGAGTTTATGAATAGAATTACTGAATATATTGTCTTCCAACCTTTGGACGCTACCCAAATATGCAAGATTGGTGAGATTCAGGTAACCATTACAAACATTTTTCTCTCAATACTATGTTATGAATGATTGAATATGTTGTTGTCCTTCTAAACTTATCCCTTGTTGGCTCTGCTTTGAAACTTACTGTGTAGTAAAGTTGATTTGTTTTTTACAATTGATTGGTGTGTTTCAGGTTAAACGATTGGGCGATAGGCTGAAACAGAATAATGATTTCTTTTGTTTACAAGGGTAAAAAGAAACTAAATTGGTGTTGTTTTCTATCGTTTTACATTCATAAGCCGTATTTTAAGCTTACTTTAGTATAAAAAACCTTATATTCGGAGTTATCTTAGGTTATACATGCATATAGGATATTTTTACATCATTTAGAGTTGATTTTAATGGAAATTACAATTTTGTGCAGAAAAAATTCAAGCTAGGTGCTTGACGCCTTGTCCAATTCCAAGAATGTCCTTAATGTTAAACTCAAGTTTCTTCCCCCTGTCCCTCCACGCGTCTTCCATGCATTGATTATGACTAATTCAACAACTCAACCATAAATATAGTAGCTGTCTCACTTCATTCATCATCCTCAAGTAATCATTTCAATTTTAGATATTTTACTCTAAGCTTATTTATGTTTTTACTTTTAAGTTTTTAGGTGTTGTTTTAAACTTTGTTTATTTCAAGTTCATTTTTTATTTTCCAGCTTGTTATTCTTCAATTGTAAGTATGATCTCATTCAATTAAAATTTCAGCAAGTTCCTTGATATTTATCTCTCTCTACCGAAGTTGTAATCACACAATCTTGTGGAATTGATCAGAGTATTGCTTTCCAATCTTGAAAGAGAACGAGTTAAGGTCATTTTGTTTACAATACTACCATTTTCAACTTGTTTTAATTCTATTCATCTTTTAATCATGTCGTCTACTTTTAAAGTCATGAGCTAAATTTATTTTCCCCAAGTCCAATTATGGATAATTAGCTAAAGTTTTTAAAATACAACAAGGCAAAATGTGTTTTTCTCTCTCTTTTTTTTTTTTTATCACTTGAGGTAGTTTTATAAAGTGAAAACTTGATTTGGTTAATTAATGTTTCAGCCAAGTATCAATGGTAAATGATGATTTTGTTTGGGTAGTCTAGACATAGGACCTCGACCTAAGTTATGCACATGTCGCTTAGTTGGGAAAATGTTGTGTATTTTTAGCTAATTCGAAAATACCCAAACACAAGTCAACTCAAAAACAAGGTACGCCTTTTCTATACTTTAATGAAATTGCAATTTAGTTCACGAGCATTAGTTTGTAATAATTTAATTTTCTACTTTCAAATTGATAATAATTTAGTCTCTAAATTTTAATATGGTAACAATTTAGTATCCGTGATGTTTATGCAAGGATATGCACAACAGTGTATTTCAGATTGCAGCACGAACTCGGCCTCCGGACCGATCTGAATACTTGGGCGGACCTGCACAAAAAGGTGAGCACTCTGACGATCAAGTCAGTATAGGTCGGATTCCCAGTTTAGTTCGAGGTCAGAAATCATCGTACTTGATCGTGGAGTGAAGTCCTCTACTTATGGGTGGTAGTCCCGCTAATCTCGCGACGGTTACACCCGGTAATCTCGGGACCGTCGGTTACACCCGATGATCACGCCGCTGACAGTAGCTCACATCGGCCCCCACTGAGCTTCCCGGTAGATCGGACCTCGGTCAGGTTCACCTCGGCCCTCATACTTAGCGTCTGTCAACGCTAGTGGTGGTGATCTCGGCGGTCCGAGCTGGGGCATGACTCATGGGTCACCCTGGAGTACCAATGGCTGTCCTCCACGTGTCCAGAGTATTCTTTCCCCCAAACACGTGATATAAAATATGTAATAATTTAGTTGAAAAAATCTCACCACAATATCAATTTTTATCAAGTAATAATTTAAAATTTAACTTTAAATGAATATTTTTCGTAGGAATAAATCATTTAAAACGTGGATTCCGCAGAAATCTAATCCATTAAAAAGATTGCTCATTGCTCTAAAAAAGAATTGTAAACAAAGAATTTACACAAAAACTCAATGCTACAATTTTTGGAAATTCCTACTTCAATTCCCAAAGCTTTATTCTTTTCCAACAATTATTTTCGAACGGTTAAAAAATACCTACAACTACAAGCTCAGCAAATCGCGAGTGCTACTGCTGTTTAATAATTTATACATTGGTTAAGTATTTGTAATTTCTAAATTTTCAACCAATAAAATCTAAAAAGAGCATATTTGGAAATTCATAATTTTACATTATAACTTCATAATATACCAATTTAAATATATATTTTTTCCAATTATACCAATATATTTTGCAGAATATTTTCCAAATTTGTCAGCGAAAAGCGGAAGCCGAAGCTTCGAGAATCATACACAGATCATTCTTCAAGCTTCCATTGCTTCATCGCCAAGCACTAAGCAGTTCATCTTCTTCCATCTCTCTCAATTCCGAATTTGTGAACCAAAGCTTCTTCTAGTTCCTTCTCTTCCATCGGAGTAATGGCGAGCAGAAGAGCTTCGAAGCTCTCCAGGTCCGCTTTAGCCGCCATTAATGGCGCCCCCAAGCTTCCTCATTCTCGCATGCCTGCACTGTCGCGTTCTTCATCTTCTGCTCTTGCTAATTCCGCCGCTCCTCTCTCTGTGCGCAAGGTTTTCGGTTCCGGACTCGTTCATGGCGGTTCAAGTCTGGCTTCGGCCAAGTATTTGGCTACGATTTTCACTCGCGATTTTCATTCCACGTCTCCATCTCGCTACTCTGCTACGGCTTCTTCTCAGGTTTGATTGTGCGACTGTTTGAAATCGTATTGAAGAAAGAAAGCAATTTGGCTTTTGATTTGATATGCAATTTCTATTTATTCGAAGTTTGTTTTAACTTTTTTAATTTCTGCTACTGGAAGAACTGAGGAGTGAAATTAACTGGAAGTTTCTGCACAGGGAATATGATAGTGCTGATTTAGAAGCTATCCATCATTATAGAATTAGTTAAAAACTAATCATCATTGTTTAATAAGTGATATAATCTGAGCCAAAGTCTAATAAAGTGGTATTTTGAGAAATCGGTAATTTCCAATTATAGTTGTTTCTGTTTTTTAGGGACCGTATCAACTGAATTTTCACTTTTTTCCACCGAAATCCATCCTCAAATGACAGTTGAAATCTAGCAGGGGACTTGTTTTAATAGGTTTTTATGATTAATTGGAAAATGTAAATCTTTGTTATATGTCTAAGATAAGTGTGTTCTGTTTAAGCAGATTAACCAGTCGGATTTCACAGAGATGGCTTGGGAAGGCATAGTTGGTGCTGTTGATACTGCAAGGTTAAATAAACAACAAGTCGTGGAGAGTGAACATTTGATGAAAGCGCTTCTTGAACAAAAGGATGGTTTAGCAAGGAGAATATTTGCTAAGGCCGGGCTTGACAACACGTCGGTTTTACAGGCTACCATTGATTTTATATCTCAACAGCCAAAGGTACATCGAGATAATATAGCTATACCTGTTTTTAAAATTTATAAACAATAAGTAATCATGTTACTTATGACAGGTAATAGGTGAAACTAGTGGGCCGATAATAGGTACACATCTAAGTTTGATTTTGGACAATGCTAGAACACACAAAAAAGAAATTGGAGACGATTTTCTTTCGGTGGAGCATCTTGTGTTAGCCTTCCATTCAGACAAGAGATTTGGGCAGCAACTGTTTAAGAACTTGCAACTTAGTGAAAAGGATTTGAAGGATGCTGTTTTGGCTGTTCGTGGAAATCAGAGAGTAACTGATCAAAGTATGAAGTCAATATTTAATGTTTCAACCACGGTGTAGCTTCTAGAAATGATTATACTGCTCAAACTTGATTGAACCCATACTCACACATTAGAAATAAAAACAAGTTATAAAGTATTTGCTATGTTAATGAACAAAATGATTTGGAGGTGCATTCTCTTAATAGTGTATAAATTTGTTGTTCATCTTTTACATGCCATTTTCATTTTGTTATATTTTATTTAAGAGTTAATATACTTATCAGTTGCAAAATTTTCTTACCTTGGACTTGTTTTATGCTTTTCTACTCATCAATTAGTCAATTTGAATTGAACTTCATTTGCCAAATATTCTTGTACTCTATTTCTTAGCTCCTTAATTGATTGTATTTTTCATCTTTTGTTTTGAACAAAGATCCTGAAGGAAAATATGAAGCTCTTGACAAGTACGGGACTGACTTGACTGAATTTGCTAGACGTGGTAAACTTGATCCTGTTATAGGAAGAGATGACGAAATACGACGGTGCGTCCAAATTCTATCAAGGAGAACAAAAAACAATCCAGTGATCATTGGTGAGCCAGGTGTTGGGAAAACTGCAATTGCTGAAGGGTATGTTGCTGCCTTATCATATGTATTTTGAATTATTGTCTTGTGAAGTTTCTGTGTCATTTTAGATCGGCATATTCATTGTCTTGAAAATTTCAAGAAATTTGTGCCTTGAGATGGTATTTATGATTGATGAGGCTGTCGAGTTCGCCTTCTTGCAGATTAGCTCAACGAATTGTGCGCGGGGATGTTCCAGAACCATTGTTGAATAGAAAGGTTGTAATTCATTTAACTAGTATTAGATGTTTGGTTCGTGGATACCCATCGATACAATGTGAGACTGTTATATATGTCAAAATTTTCATTTGCTGATGATAAAGCATATATATATATATATATATTTTTTTTTTATTGACTTCGATGATAAGCATATATACTCCTACCTTCTCAGTAACTGTTTCCACTTCCATAAAACAATCCCTTTTGATTTATTTGTCTCATGAATTTGCAGTTGATATCTCTGGACATGGGTTCACTGGTTGCCGGTGCGAAATACCGCGGAGATTTTGAAGAAAGATTGAAGGCTGTACTGAAAGAAGTTACCGCGTCAAATGGGCAAATTATCTTGTTCATAGATGAGATTCATACCGTTGTTGGTGCAGGTTTATTCTTCCTTCTATTTAACTTCAACTATAGGTTTCTTTACTGATTTTAGCAATCAATTATGTAAAAGTGCTTGCAAAAAATGAGCAAATTTCACATTTATCTTAGGTAGATGGTTGGATCTGGTGTTTGCATAATTGGCTGATGATTTTCATGTAGGGGCTACGGGTGGTGCCATGGATGCTGGCAACCTCTTGAAACCCATGCTCGGTCGAGGTGAACTTCGCTGTATCGGTGCAACTACATTGAAGGAGTATCGAAAATACATCGAGAAAGATCCAGCTCTTGAACGTAGATTTCAACAAGTGTTTTGTGGTCAACCATCTGTTGAAGACACAATCTCTATTCTTCGTGGGTTACGAGAGCGCTATGAGCTGCACCATGGTGTAAAGATATCGGATAGTGCACTTGTTTCCGCAGCCGTTCTAGCGAGCAGATACATCACAGAACGATTTTTGCCTGACAAAGGTTACTATATAATTTGTGTTTACCATTTTGGATTTTTTTTTCAAGTTCAAATTATCGTGTTGCTCCCTCGAGTTCATGAAGGTTATTTTTCTTTGCAGCCATTGACCTTGTTGATGAAGCTGCTGCAAAGTTGAAGATGGAGATTACGTCTAAGCCCACCGAGTTGGATGAGATTGATAGAGTTGTTTTAAAGTTGGAGATGGAGAAGCTATCCCTAAAAAATGATACTGATAAAGCAAGCAAAGAAAGATTAAGCAAATTGGAGCAAGATTTGAACTCACTCAAGCAAAAACAAAAAGAGTTGACGGAACAATGGGATCGTGAAAAGTCTTTTATGGCTCGTATACGATCTATCAAGGAAGAGGTAGTTTTGAATTACTTAAATTTGATATGCATCCCCAAATCACATTCTTTTTCAATTTTCTACTTCCTTCAATTTTCAAAGAACTTTATTGTTTTTAAGCTAATATATGATAGTCATTTCCAACTTTGGATTTTTTCATCATTGGTAGATTGATAGAGTTAACCTTGAGATGGAAGCTGCTGAAAGAGAGTTTGATTTGAATCGTGCTGCTGAGCTCAAATATGGAACTCTCATATCCCTTAATCGCCAATTGGAAGAGGCTGAAAAGAACCTTCAAGACTTTCGAAAGTCTGGAATTTCTTTACTTCGTGAAGAGGTCACAGATCTTGATATTGCTGAAATTGTAAGCAAATGGACTGGCATACCCCTATCAAACCTTCAACAATCTGAGAGAGATAAACTAGTTCTACTAGAACAAGTCCTCCACCAAAGAGTGGTTGGTCAAGATATCGCAGTAAAATCAGTTGCAGATGCCATTCGACGTTCAAGAGCCGGACTCTCCGATCCAAATCGACCAATAGCTAGTTTCATGTTCATGGGACCGACTGGTGTTGGAAAAACTGAGCTTGCAAAAGCTTTGGCAGGTTATCTTTTTAACACCGAAAATGCTCTAGTTAGGATTGATATGAGCGAATACATGGAGAAGCATGCTGTATCCCGTTTGGTTGGGGCACCACCTGGTTATGTTGGTTATGAAGAAGGGGGCCAGCTCACTGAAGTGGTTCGTCGAAGGCCTTACTCTGTGGTGCTTTTCGATGAGATTGAGAAGGCACATCACGACGTCTTCAATATTTTGCTACAACTACTAGATGATGGGAGGATAACTGACTCACAGGGCAGAACAGTGAGTTTTACAAATTGTGTGATGATAATGACATCCAATATTGGTTCCCACTACATCCTTGAAACTCTTAGTAACACAAAAGATAGTAAAGATGCAGTTTATGAGTTGATGAAAAAACAAGTTGTTGGGTTGGCAAGACAAACTTTTCGGCCAGAGTTTATGAATAGAATTGATGAATACATTGTCTTCCAACCTTTGGACGCTACCCAAATATGCAAGATTGTTGAGATTCAGGTAATCATTACAAACATTTTTTCTCAATACTATGTTTTGAATGTTTGAATATGTTGCTATCCTTCTAAACTTATCCCTTGTTGGCTATGCTTTAAAACTTACTATGTAGTAAAGTTGATTCGTTTTTTACAATTGATTGGTGTGTTTCAGATTAAACGATTGAGTGATAGGCTAAAACAGAAGAACATTAATCTTCAGTACACTCAAGACGCTCTTGAGCTTCTAGGGATGTTGGGTTTCGACCCCAATTATGGAGCAAGGCCAGTTAAAAGGGTAATACAACAACTGGTAGAAAATGAGATCGCAATGCAAGTTTTGAGAGGCGATTTCTCGGAAGATGACTCGATACTTCTCGATGTGGATGCGTCTCCATCAGCCAAAGACCTACCTCCCCAAAAAAGATTGCTGATCAAGAAAATAGCGAGCAATTCTGCCCCAGATGTTATGGTTGCCAATAACTAATTGCATGCGGGATCGAGTAACGTGGTAGGTACATAATAGGTGATTATTTAGCTTTTGTCTATTCTTGATACCGTGACGTAAATGTTGGATCTTTAGATGTGAGACTGCCATGCCCTTGTGTTGCATTCTTCTAGTAGTGTTCACAAAATTTTTTTTTAAGTAATATCAAAAGACATCCATAAATTTTCAATTATAGCTGTGGATACAATTATCTTGGGTAGTAGGAAAAGTTGTATTGTAATTGCAACAATGATGTTCTGAGAGAGTAAGAATTATTTCTCTTACCGTCTGTCTTTCAATACTATGTTACTGATCAATTCCATGCTCATCATTTTTGCACCAAAACACTGTCCTCATTTATTCTACAAAGTAACACAGGCTTCTCAAGAACACAGTTGCCTTCAAACTTGTCGACTTCCCGGCCATCAGTGACACGTCTTCGAAGTCGAAAAACTGCTTCACCGAATGATTGTGGTCGTCGAAAGGTACTGCCTATATTACCCTTCTCTCCTTAGTTTGAATGAGCAGGATGGGCAAATTTGACCCAATATATAATTTGATTGTGTACATGATTCTTGAGCGGCAACCAACAAACAGATGGTGGATACGAATCCAGAATTGATTGCCCAAAATTTGAAAACTTGTGTCTGTACACTATTTAGTGGATCAATTCTGAGTGTCCTTTGTTTGGGATATTTTTTATTTAGTTTGGTGAGAGAGTGGCCGTTTGTGGTAGGTGATTGATGGCCAGACACCGACACTAAAAATTACACCTACGTTTCTTTGTTTAATGTCATTCCTAGATTTGACATTAAAATGGTTCTACGTTGCTGGTTGTTTTGCACGAAAATATCTTTAGTTTCATGGGCTAACATTCTAATCTCATTTACAATTTAACACATTATTAAGCAATAGTTTACTCTGAATCTCGTGCTTCTATAAATTTTCCTCGTGTTTAAGTGTCAACTATGCTCATATATTTTTATTTACTTTAAGAGTTCGTTAGTTCAAATTCTCACTCTCATATGTGATATAAACATTCTCATCATGTGTTTGGTATGTAATGATTTGAGTAAGATATTTTTCAAATATATGATGTCTTTACTTCAATTTCGGATCTGAGTTGAGCATACTTATTTTAGGCATAATTTTAAACTTTGTGATGCAAAATTAATAAATTGTGTTTTGATTGCAGAGAAATAACTAAATTGGTGGGCCTTAGTCGGAGATATATGCCAACTACAATTGAGTTATTCTCGAGTTCATGCCGATTATAACAAAATATAGTTGAAGACCAGGAATGGGAGTCCAATTCAAGTGGGGGTGGCTTTGATTTAATTTCCATCCGTCTCCTATCAAAAATTTGACATTTTAAAAGATGGAAAAAAAATCAATAGGCTCTCTTTTCTTTAAAAAAAAAACATTTTTTTATAAAATAATTATTGTTATTATTATATTTTGAATAGCTGTGAATATAATTTTTGTTTTAAATTTATTAATCACTCGTTGAGTTAACAATAAGGTTTCTCTACTTACCTTCAGTAGTGATGATTTATTTATTAGTTTAAGTAATTATAGTAATTATGTATAATTACCTTTTAAAAATTATCATTTGTATAATATTTCATTCTTATTATATTATTTTACTAATCGATCTTAAAAGTCAACAGAAACATAAAATCAATTGATAAATAAAAAAACAGAATCCAACAAATTCATATTTGTCCTGATCATATTTCAGAATGGAAAACGACGTAAAAAGACCGAAAATATGACCCACCCTACCGATTCACATTCAATTCAACTTTTTTATTTTCAGAAAAAAAAACCCCAATCTTCTAAAAAAAACAAGAAATTATAATTAAATGAAATTATCTAAGAAAAAAAAGCTACATTATATTTATTTCTTGTTTATATTTTAACCATTGCAACTAGGTGATTTGCAGTCGGTTGGCGCCAACTTGTTTTTTTTTCCCTTCTTCTTTTCAAAGTTGGGAGAAGCGGCTAAAGAAAAATAAAATATGTGTACACATACATACATAATTTTATATATAACACTAAGTCACTTGGTCGATTTTCTATAGGTCAACGATAACTAATTGATCATCGGTCGACTTTGCATGTGCCACTAAAACAAACCAACTAACTTCGTTTCAATCGATCGCTTTTTTAAATATTATGTGCACCCCTATTTACAACAACTTAGTTCAGATATTTTGATTATACTTTGTGACAGTTAATTAATATTTATCCAACATCTCTAACATTATAGACTAATTATTTTTCAAGTTATGGTGGTAAACTTCATAATTCACACACATATTATATATATATATATACACAACAGTTTATACAACATGTAGGGTAGTTGTGGTTGAAGATATATACCAATTATCACTGAGTTATGTTTGTTTTGGCCATAATTCACATATTTCAACGACGTCTGGTACAAATATTTTAGTAAAAATATATAAGTAGGGTTAGAGCTAATTTTATTTTAAAATATAAGTTCAACCATGGGTTAAAATACTTTCAATTTTGGTTAATTTTGATTAATTTTCTATTCATTTCAATCTCTATATTTTCAAACATTCATTTTGATATATATGTGCTCTTAAAAATCGACATTTTCTATTTTTGTTTGTAAAAATTTAACACATGTTCTACACACAAAATAAATCCTTTAATCTAAAATTATTGCTACATTTCAAGAATTATATTGAGTGTGGTACCATATTAAAATTGTGATTGAAAAAAATGAGATAAAAAAATGAAGAGATCAAAACGATCAATTTTCAAGAGTGTAGGAACTAAAATAGATAAAAGTTTGAAAATACGTATACCAAAATAAATTTTTTGAATAAAAAAAATAAATAAACAAAAAGCTAAAAGTTGACCTAAATAATATTTTAACCATAATTTTAATGTAACCTGTCAATAACCTATCTTAAATTAAATTTGAAATGATATATTTTTATTACTGTTTCATTAGAGTTAAATAAAAAAAGAATTTTATAAAATATTTATAAAAAAAAATTGAATAACAATAATTTAATATATAAAGAAGGGTCCTGAAAGAAAGAGTAGAGAGTACTCCATCTTTGCCGCTAAACTTAAATACTTCTCTGCTTCTGATTTCTGACTTCTGAGTCTGAAGCTCTGCTTCTATAAAGCCCAAACAAAATTTTCCAAGAGATTGAAGAACAGAGCAAAATCTAACCATTAATGTTCCTGCATTTTCTTCTTCTTCTTCTTCCTATGGAGATTGCTCGCGCTGCTCTTATTCTTGCAATTTAGTGTTTTCAGTACCAGTTTCCGGTTTCCGATATGGCCAAGTGCCGGAGAAACGACGCCGGATCTGTGGTTTTTGATCGCGTCTCAGTCTCCACTTCCACTGCCGCCGCCGGCCATTTCCGCCTCTGTACTTCCTTCTCAGCCGCTTCATTCCGCAGGAAGATTTTC